GAAAAATGATTCACCTTACGACATTTTCATGATAGGATCTCAGTTTCGGAACGGATTAATTTTGTATCCTGAGGTACCACAATAATAATAATAATAATAATAATAATAAATCATTGACATTTCACTAGAAAATTTATGTAAAACAAATTCGTTTCCTTCTTTCAGGTAATTTTATTAATAAATCAAGTTAAATTTGGATTTTAAGAACTTAAAAATGTTAAGATATTTTTATACAAGAGATTTACTGAGAACGGTAAAAAAAATTTTATTTATTTATTTTTATATATAAGATATATAAACTTTAATTCTTATTTTATTAACGCTCAATCTGTTGATTTAACAATAAATTATAAATGAATTGCAATTAAGTATAATTTAAAAAAAAAAACATATTTATTTAAAAAATTTTCCCTTATAAACATAAATTAATCACATATTCTGTTGTTAATATCAGAATAGCTCTTATTGGTTTAATTTAAATCAGTTTTTAAAATTCGCTATCGTGATTGGTTGGTTTAAATTTTTAAATATTTAAATCGCTACAGGAGAGAAAGATAGTAATTTTGTTTTATCAAATGTTACAAATTAGTGAAGAATAAAGAAATAAAAAGTTAAAACATCGAGAGCTAAGACCTACAGGACGCTACCCTATTTATGTGAAAACAATTTCGAAGAAAGAGAATTTTCCTTCTATACAACGTTTTGTAAAGGTCGAAATTCTCTGCCTCCATGTCCCTTTTTTTTACCCAACAACCGTCTTATATTAGGGCAATGTTAAGGTTGATAATCTTTAAATAACACCTGGCATAAGATTCCCATGCACGGAAAGAGTTCCTCCTACTCACCTCCACTCAAAATCAGAGAAAACTTGAATCTATTTTTAGAATTTACGCGTAAGAAATTCAGGTGACGTAACACATTTCAAAAAAAGGAACCTTCAGGCTAAAGAGAGGTTAGAAAAGGGGAATCTAAAAAATATATATATATATATATATGTATATATATATTTTTTTTATTTCTCTATAATTTTTGTTTTTAAAATATTTGTTTAAAAAGTTTTAAAATTGTTATACTTGCACATTTCAGTTGCTGCAGCACTTTTATATTTTACCCTCATTTAACCTCTCGAGTAGGGAGTTTGTTTGAATATATATATATAAAAAAATATAAAAATTGATTAAAAAAAATATATTTATATTTACAATATATATTTTCAATTTAACTTTTGTGGTGAATCTAATTCTAAAAAAGTATAAATAATACTTAAACTAGGTGAGAAATGTAAGTCATATTTACTTTATCTCTTCTGCTTGAGAGGTTAAATAAATGTTAAATGCATGTGTTTTAATAATAATTATCAGAATTCACTCAGGAAGCTCTATGCAAAAATGATCAGATTTCCTAAAGTTACAGCACAGTATGTTTGGCATTACATCTACCCATCACATGAATGCCTACACAATTGTTGGCACTAAGAAATTTTTTGAAATTGTATTACATCTAAAATGGATTATATGAAGTATTTGCTAATTATAAAACATATCATATCCAAAATTTTGTTTAATTGTAGATTGCTGAATAACTAAAGTGATCTCACTATTATTATTATTATTATTATTATTATTATTTTTTTTTTTTTAATGTAAGCATAAGTTGTAAATATGCTAATTGCTAAAGAAGTAACAAAGTTTTACAATTTTTGTTGTTTATTAATTTAATAATCAAATAAAACTAAAATTTATATTGATATTTATCATTTGATGACTTTGACTGATATCATATATCATCACTTGTATGAAATTGTATCAGGCCCTGTTACAAAAGTGCATTGATATTTTTATGATGATTTTTTTGTGTTGCTGAGCAACGGTCTTTCATATAATTGTATTTAGTATGTAAATGAACAGATATATTTAATATTTGTTATAAGAAAAAAAAATGTATTTAAAGTAACGTAGCTGTAAGCATTCTGAACTAGTTTATAGATGGGAACGATTCACCCGAATTTCAATAAATCTGTAGAAAGAATAATCTGTGATTATTTATGTTTCGTGTGATTCCCATCAACATGAATTACTCAAGGTTGTGTTGAGGATAACCCAAAAAAAGAAAAAAAAGAAAAAAAGAAAAACGAGGTCATGAAACCAGTGTGAATATTGTGTGCACTTTCACTCCTGTGCCTTTCTCTGCACTGCTCTTTTCAAATTGTTGATATTCATGTATTTACCATAAGCCGATCACAGTAGACTTGAAAGAGATAACTATGCCAGATATTATCAAATTTCATGCATATTTCTTCTGATCAGATCAATTCCTTAGAATTAGGATATAATGTGTGTCTGACCTTTGTCATGCATATAGTTTTGTTCCTATTGTCACAATTGAATGTACAGCATGTCATAATGTATTTCTGAATGGAGGAATTTGATATAAGAATACACATCATTCTGTTGTGCTATTTGAATCTCAGTATGAGAATGCACTTATAAATGAAAGTTTTTAAGCTATTGTTTTACTTTCCTGTTTCAATACAATGCTAGAAAAAATAAGTACAGGAATATGTTTGCTCAATCTGTGATGTCTGTGTTTCTGTAATCTGTAGTACAACTACGCTGTAAAACTCCAGGAATCAAATATATAAATATTATTGATATTGTCTCACTTTGTGTGTTTATCTAACTTAGATACAGTATTTTCAAATTTACAGCAAATCACATTAAGATGATTTTGTTTACTAATAATTTAATATTCTTGATAAAGATTAGGTCTTATTCCCATTTATATAAATAATAACATTCTAAAAAGCAATTTCAAACATTTTTAATTATTTAAAATGAATTTTCTTTTTGCAAATAACTTGCATTAAATAATAATTGGTCCAATAGAAAATCCCTAAACGTGTTAATGTGCTATTAGTATTTTTATTCAGGATGATTCATCAGGTAAGAAAATTAAAAAAAAAACTTAAAAATTAACATTTTAACCAAATTTCATTGGAATGTTTTAATTTCTAAAATAAGAAAAATGTTCTTTGAATTTCATATCTTTACTACAAAAAATTAATGATGATTAAAATATTGTAATAAATTTTTGAATTTGATTAAAAATTCTGAATTCAAGATCTGAATATTGCTTTGTTAAATCAATATTAACTAGTTTTAAAATCAATAGAGTAATTTAGGTTTAGAGTTAAATTCTTTAAATACTAATTAG